CAAACGCTGGCGCAAGGAAAACAGACCAGGGACAGAAGAGGGAGGAATTCGGTCCTGCATGTTTGAGACCAAACGGGTAACCTGAGGTGAAACAGTGGAAGCAGGAAGAAAAGAGCAAGTCTGGCAAACCAAGAGCTTGACTTAGGATAAACCCTGCAAAGCGACTCCCTGCTCCCTTCCTAAGAAAAGAAGGCAGCTGAGAAAACTGCTTTTCTGTTGCAGAAGCGCGAAGTTGCAGAAGACAGGCAGAGATCCTTGTCCAACTGATAGCAAAACAGCAGCCAGAGCAAGTGGCAAAGTACAGCAGAACCAGGCACATAAAACAGTCTGGATTTCACCACCTGGGAGCAAAGGCCAGAGTCCCTCAGAACCAGGGTGGCACCCAGCTGCTGGGGCCATGGCTCCACGTTCCCCTTGACACCCTCCTCCTCTCAGGAAAACCAGCCCTGCCACTGCCTGAGCACATGGGGCCAAGATAACATTTAAAATAGGGCCTGGGAGCTCCAGCAGCCCAGAACGGCATCACAGATGTGAACAAAAAAAAACAATCTAAGCGGAGAAAGCCACCTCCAGCAGAGACCCCACCAGCCCTGCACATGTGCTCACCTGAAGTGCTCGCTTAAGCTGACATGTGCCTGCTGGCGCAGGCAGGGCTCCCACCTTCGCATCTCCCCTCCTGTAACAGCTCCTTCGTGTTCAACAGCAGGAACCACAAACGCCTGTTGCCATCTGTCCTACTTGTTGCTGTGCCTTGATAAGCAGTCCTGGGATGAACCTGCTGCAGACTGGAAGAAACGAAACATTAATATTCCCAGAAGGATGCAAGAGTTAAAGGAGAGGGCAAGAAGGCTGAAGAAGAGGTGAATGGAGAGTGGAGACAGCCCTGATGAAATTGACTCTGGGATACCCTCAACCTTCTGGCTGAATGGCACAGTCAGCTGTTGCCTGATTGCCTTGTCATCTTTGGCACTTGCTGCAGGCAAGCACCAGCTTCTGGCAGCCCAATGTCGCTTTTCTCCGCCGTGCACTCCAGAGCGGATGAGTGAGTTTCTAGAAACTGGTCTCACCTGACAAACAGGAAAAAACGTTGAGGATGTAGGTCTGCAGGTGTAGTACTCACCCAGGAGCCCAGGGAAATCAACCCATCCCAAATCCCCAATACTTTGCTTGCCATGCTCTAAAGAAAGAAGATTTAAATAGCACACCCAAGTAATCCCATTCTTATCTGCTGTCATTCCACTGGTGCTCTCTGGATTATATTGTTACTTGTCCACAAAGACATGAGATGGTGGCATATGGATTTCCTATCCTTGGCAACTGAGCAAGAGCACCAATGGACACAGACTTCACCAATTCACCTAGAGGTCCATCAACTGCCATCTGCTGCTTTAAAAGCTATTCTAAAACAGGGCAGGTTGTCCTCAGTTTACCTGGGCTTCTGTAATCTCAGCAGAATCTTCCTTCTCCAGGCAGTCATCTTAAAGCTTGCTTTCAGCTCCTGTGCTCCAGGAGTACATTTTGATTTGCCCATTGCATTTGCTTTCATAGACACCTGCACCCTGTTGCAGAGGGGTTCAAAGGACACATTGCAGAACCTCCGGCGATCCAGATGTACACAGATACCATCACCAGCGCAGGGGAACCAAAGGGAACATTCACAGCAATTGCCCAAATTTTTCTTTTTTTGCATTACTCTAAATATCCACCTAAGCAACTCTCATTTAGGAAAGGCTTTAAGAGATCCAAGATTCTTTCATGGGCCTGTACATCACACACACTCCTCAGATCCAACCCCACAAAAAGGTCTAAGAGCTTGTATTTACAGCCTTCAGAGAACAGCAGGCTGTTTACTAAAAGGATTAGATAAGGCTTGACAAAGATGTAGGAAGGTGGGCATGCTGTGCCTTAGAAAACTTTTGCAATACAGAACTCACAACATCCCCACAGGCACTTTCAGTGAGAAAGCAGCAGGGAGGAATTGCAAATAGAGCACTTTGGCCACTTTTGGATAGAGGACAAAATGACACCAGAGTAACTGATCAGCGGTGTGCGTCTCCAAAATCCCTGACCAGCAAGCGCTTTTACCAGTGAGATCTGTGGGACTATCTCAAAATGGACACTTTTATCTCAGGGAGAAAGCCTTTAAATCATGTTGCTGCTGCTCCTCTCTCTTTCCTGCAGAAGGGACAGCTGCTCTTCTGGGTTTGGTGAGGACAAGAAGCTGAGGTGATCTCTAAGGCTGCTCTGCACTTGGAGGAGAAGCCCAGTTCTACCCTCTTTGGAGAGCATGGTGATGCAGCCACCAGACAGATTTCTGTACCTCTGAGTTCCTGACCAGAGAAAACCAGGATGCAGCAGCACTGCTTGTAGGGCAAAGTGACAGAAAAGAGGTAAAAATATGAACTGTTATTTTTCCTTGAGGAATAGCATCACAGCACACCAAACTACTTGGAGCTGAGGGACCAGAACATGCAGGCATGGGGGTTTCTCCAGCAATCCAGTATTGTGCTCAACTCCAAATTTATAGTAAACTATAAAATACAAACACAATTACAAAGTTCCCCACTGTGTCCCTTTAAACACAGCTAAGCATAGGTGTGGATTCGTGTTTAAAGAAACAAGCCACGGGAGAGAAGGCACAGCAGGGCCAGCAGCCACATGGCACGTTTAATTTCAAGGGAAGAACACCTGACTTCTACTTGCAGATCAACAAATAAATAAAACCAAGTATATGTTCTGGCTTCTTTACTTAGGACCATTAATTACAGCATTATGGACACGGCTGTTAGGGGACTCCCACAAAGCTTCTCATGAGACCGATCGGGAAGAGTGCCAAACTGCAGCATGAGGGACGTGGCCCCCTTTTGGGCTGAGATGAGGATTTGGTTTCAGCATTAGTCAGGGCGTGGGTCTTGACAGCAGTTGAGTGAAAAGTAGCTGTTAGAGCGCGGCTTATCGAGACGAGAAGCACACTCAGCAGAGCTGCACTGAGAGTGGAATAAAGCACACGGGAGAATCAGCCCAGAACAAGCCAAAGGAAGTTTATTCAGGTGAGATCAGTTTGGACATGATCAGATTGAAAACCTTTCTGTGTCTGAGGACCTTGAGGAAATACACAGAACCAAAAACCCAGGACAACCGCAACAACAAACCGACCCCGAAGTCACGGGGACGCCTCACTAATTGAGGGTGGCCTCAAAGCACTGCCGCACACTTAGATGTGAGCTGCCAGGCAGTGCTCACAACACATCTGACACTTTGCAAGAGGGGACAGAACTGTTTACAGGAAACCATTTGTCACAGGGGCCTGCCTCTCCTCCCCCCTCGGCCCTGGCGACATCCCTTTCCCACCCCACCTTTCATCAGAAGCTTATCTAGCACCCAGACGGCTGCCCAAAGAGTTCATCCAGGTTGGAATTTGAAACCACAGATTCTCAGACATCGTAGCTCGGGCAAACGGTGCCACCGTCAATTTTGAAACTCATTTTCAAGGAGTTTTGCTTCTATTTGTATGGGGGCTAATGAGTAGCTTGGGATGTGAGCACTAACCCCAGGGCATAATTCTGAGAGCAGGATGATAGATGCTCAGTCTCCTGCCCTAATTATACAGGCAACAATTGGAATGGGAATGAGAAGAGACAAGGACAGGATTCAGGTTCCTCATCAGTTAAACGGCATCATTTTCCCAAGCACTGAAATTTTCCCAAGCACGGAAGTCTTGAGGGTTAGCAAAACATACAGGAATCACTGCCACCAAGAAAGAGAGGAAGACTCTCAAAAAAAGTATAAAATGGAGCAACTGAGTTTCACAGTAAGCAAAGTCGTGCACAGAGCCGTCACTGCAGAAGCAGCAATCACCAAGCAACCGTTCAATACAGTAAAACCGTAAGGCACTAATAAAGTTCCACTCATTACAATCAACACATGACTAAAAATTGACATTCATAAATTTAAGAAAAATGAAGTCACTGTACATTTAAAAAAAGGCAACCTTTCCTATTTAAAAAGTTTCAGATTTTCAGCTCCAAGAATTTTCCTGCCCCCTACTCCACTCAGGCATCACCGACTGGTCAGACGGAGCGTTGGACCAGCATTTCTGCTGGCTGACACATACCTATCACAATGAAACATCCCAAGGCATGAGCACAAGACACTCTGTTGAGAGGTTACTCGATGATCCCATCAACATCTCCAACAAACGTTAGAGGTGTCAGCTGGGCACACCCTGCTTTCCGCAGTACTGCAAAATACCCAAATACCTCCATCCTAAGTGCCAGTTGCATGTTTTTAATGCTGACTTGCATCAACCTTTCTCTTCAAGATTCAACTCAAGCTTTAAAACCCTGGAGCCTGAGGTCACCCTGCAGCCATAGGCAGGGGAAAGGAGCACTTGCTCACGGATGCTATTGCAGGAGTGCACTTCAGTCCCTATCTGGAAGCCCATGTCTGAGAGCAGCCAGGTCCCTTACATCCCTTCAATCCCATTCTGGTTCTCCTTCGTCAGAGATGAGCAATTGCCCAATGAGTATGAAACCAATGAAAACAGTGACACCAGCTCCTTCAGAGGGTCACCTCACAGTCCCAGTTTGGTCAGTATTGATTAGAATTAAAATAACAAAGCAGTAGTGAAAGTATTTGCGTCCCATTACTGATCCCTAAAGCCATTCAAGGATCCTTTAGACACAAAGGATCTATTAAGGCTTGTTCTCAGAGATCACCGTAAAGTATTGCACATTATTTGTCTGCTTAAATAGTTAAAAACGGAAATCTCATTTACCAGAGATTAGTAATATCATTATTATTTAAAAAATGCTAAAAACAAATATGGAGGTAATTTCTCCATGTGAACCTACTGGAATACGTGACAATTAATAGCTAGGGATAGCAGAGGTCTGTTTGTGCAGAGATTTAGCAACAACATTTTTTAGACAACTGGACAGTGCAAGTTCCAAATAATTATTTCTGCTCTTTCTAAAAGCTGAAGTGATCACAAATTTGGCCTACCCATGAAATGCACTGTATGATTTCACCAGCACAACAGTGCATCAAAATTTGTTGCAAGACAGCCTCTCTACCGTCAGTTTTAAACCGTTGACCTTTGGTCAGGACATCCAGAAATAAATAAGAAAGGGTATAACAGTGAGGCCACCCAACAGAAGACCCCAGTGAGGCTGCCGACGGGGAAGAGTCTGGTAGGTGGGGACAATCCACCAGTCCCACAGATTGTCTAGCTGAGGTCAGCAGCTCCACGATGTGGGTGGTCTCAGGACGGGTATTTGGTACTTCATTATTGAGCTCGCAAAGGGAGGTCAATCCAGTCTTGCAGAGCCATTGTGAACCAGTCCAAACCTGGAGGATGTAAGAAACGAGTCTTCCAGAGCCTTGATTAGTGTCCCAGCTGTCAGGTCCATCCCACAGCCCTTCCAGAGGTGAGCAGAAGTCACTCAGCCAGCATTCGCAGGCGCCGCTCATGCAGAAGCAATTTGATCTCCCTCACTATTAATGGTGAAATGAACAGGATCGTTGAACTCGTCTGTGGAAAGCAGCATATTCGGGACAATTAGCACAGAGTAACCAGAGCTGCAGCCCTCCTGCACTCCAGTGTGCATTCAAGGCCCCCCCAGAAAGACATCGGCTAGGGGAAGTGATGACAAAGCAGCACAGCAGATGGAAGGACTAAGCTTGCAGGAAAGCTCATACGATTTCAGCTGTGATCTCCTCTTTATAAAGAGGATGAGCTCTTCACCACCTCAATGACCTTCCTCCTGGCCACCTCTGCTGCTTACCAAAGTGGCCTTTTCCCTGGCCAACGCACATGCAAAGACAACTCCTGGCATTTCCAGCACGGCAGAATGGGTGAATTGCACGGCATTCACCACTTCGGCAATGCTAAGGAGATCAGGGGCTTCTGCAGGGTCTTCTGCCCCAGTGGTATAGCAGGATAAGGCATTTTCATTTTAGCTTCAAGGCCCTCATCACTCTTTC